TTCTCCCATTTCAAACCATGATACAAATGGGCACTGACATGTGGAGAGAATAGACATTTGTATGTTTGCAATGTGTGTTTTAGATAAAATAGGATTGGGTATTTAAATTAGCATATGTGTGAATTTAATAGCATTAAGATTACTTTCAAATGAAAAAAATCTCAAAATTCTCATGGTTTTGTGCATTTTCTTTCAAAATGTATTCATGATTTTTAGTGTATTAGATTTGCTGAGTCCTAGCTGTGTTTAAAACATCTCCATTCTGCATTTAGCTTGGTCACATTTAAACTGCTGCCTAGTGTTTGGGTAAAAAGGAATGTCTAATGCCCTCTACTAAGTTCTGGAAACAGGTAGTGGATTTTTTTTTTTTTATCTCCATCACAACATTTTATTGTTTCTGATACAGCAGTCAGAATCTTCAAAAAAACAAGGGCAGAACTAGAAGTACAATCAAAGCTTCAGCGTCTTAAGCCTTTTAGTCCTAAAACTGAGTTAAGCAAGGCAAAGCAACTTTCCTCCAAACTAAATAGGTCTCCAGTATTCCACCTCGCTGAGCTTTCAAACACCAAGTGCTTAGGACTTAATACAGTGTTAATTATGCCTGAAGAGCTTAATACCCATCCAGGTCCAGAGGTGGAAGAACACATACACTGGAATGGTGATGGGCAAGAGCAGACTGTAAAAGCAAAGGCTGGCTGTACTGTGCAGCCCTGTGGGAAGTCCTCCTCCACAGAGGCTGAGTAGAACAGTCCTGCTAAGGAGCTCAGTGGAATAAGCACAGTCAGAGTAGGCAGAGACAGAAACATTCTTCCTCCTCACTCACAAACTGCTGCGGCCCTGTTTTAAAGTATATATAAGACTTAAGAAAATGTAGCAGTGTTTTTTTTAAAACGTTGATTCAGTGCTGCTCTGTTTCTTCTTGCTTCTTCTGTTGATGTGCTGCTCTAGCTGTTTGTGGTATCATGTTAGGAATCCCATCAATGATTGGATAAGCTATCCCCAGCTCTTCATTGATCAGTTCATTTGTGGATGCTTCATATCGGAGCGGCTTCTTGGAGAGAGGGCACACCAGGAACTCCAGCAGCGCGGGGTCGAAGGCGCGGGGCGGCTGCTCTGACCCCTCGCTTGCCCCGCCATGAACCGCGAGCCAGCCGCGCGGAGGGCCCGGGGCACCACCGACCACCGAGGCGCGCGCGTACCCGACACGACCCTCCGGCCCAGCCGGCCCAGCATGGTCCACACCGCAGATGCCCTCGCTGGCTAGTGGATGTTTTCCGTCTTCTACATTAAACCATTTTTTGAGATACAGGCCCACTAAGCCTGCTATGTCTAAGCAAATTAGTGGACACTTGGTTTTGATTTTTCAAAGCACTCAAGAGGCCCAGTTTTAAATCTTGAGGTGGTTCTTTTTTCCCTTCTCCCAATACAAACATTCTGAGCAAGAGAATAAAAATCATGCATTATTGAACGTTTAACTAGCTGGCATGCTTTCTCCTGTTTTTTACCCTACATGTTTTATTGAATGAAACCAAGGATAGTTTAAATATAATTGTTCAAAACCATTTAATGCAGCAGAAATGTAGCACAGTTGCTTAGTACAAGCATCACACTCTTCCCCAAGACCTGGATTCAAATTTGGATAATCTTCAAGTTCCCAAAGAACACATTGTGTTACTCCTTGTGTATATATTTTAACCTAAATCATGTTGCTGTGAGTTGTCAATTTGTTTGGAAGACCCTGGTGTAGAAGTTTCAGATTTTAAGGTCATATATATATATATAAGTCATTGTCTACTGTTTTGCGCCAGCTAGTTCTTACAGTTTCTTTCGTTGAAGCCCTAAGTATGTGCCCTACTGTTACTTTTTCTTTGGAAGTTGAACATTGAATTCAAGATTTTTATTTGGTTTTCAAAGTACTAAGCAAAACAAGCAATAAACAAGGGGAATGGGGCGTGCTAGTGCTGGAACACGCTCTCTCGCTGCTCTAACCCTGGGCCTCTGGGCATTCCTAATACTTGGATGCGTGCGACACAATAAACAAGGGGATGGGGCGTGCTGGTGCTGGAACACGCTCTCTCGCTGCTCTAACCCTGGGCCTCTGTGCATTACTAATACTTGGATGCGTGCAACACAAGCATGGAAGTCGGTCTTCACAGATACTGCAGTTTTCCAGAAAACACTCACCAACCAATAAATGTAACCGACAACATTCCATTTGTTAATGGGCATATGTGAATAAGCAGTGTAGAAAATAGGCTAATATTAGAAAATGGTTAAGTCCTTTATAATTAAAAGTGTGGTTATATAAATGGACACTGTCAATGTTCATAATTTAAACCTTGGGTACCTGGTCAAAATATTGCTTGGGAAACATTTTATTAAAATTGAGCTAAATTGTCTCGAGTTGTTTCATTCATACAATAAAGGTTGAAGAAATGGGGGAGAATTTAAAAAAAAATGAGAGTGCACTCAAATGTATTTCTGGCCAGATTAAATTATGATAACCATTTTTAAGTTTGTAATTATGAGAGACTAGTCAGAACTTTTGCAGGTCAATTACCAGAGATTTCATGTAAGAAGAATTTGAAAAATGTAAACACCTCTTATTTATAGTTAATATTGTTTGAGTAGGAGCAAGCAAACTGAGCAGAGTATGAGGACTAGGCACATTACAATAGAGGAGCAGTGACAACTCACAAGTTCTGGACTTGCAGGCTGGCAAGAAGGGCATTCTAATGAGGGGGCAGGAAGCTGAGACTCAGAATCTCTGTCTTATGGCTACAACAAGACACTGCCTGTAGAGGTGGCTGAGGGGCAGGGGGAATGAGGGGAGAAGGAGGTGAGCAGCAGATTTGACTGGAAAGGACAGTGTTTGCTTGGTGGGCTATTATTCTGCCTTCAGCTTGATAGCAGTGGGAGGAGCTCGTGTTTTTGGGGAAAAAATGTGTCATTAGTTGTGGATCTCACTTCATCCTAGAGTGAGAAATCTGGAGGAAAAGAGATTGATTGCAAGTTGGGGGCAGTGAGGAATGAAGGACCGACAGGCACCAGCAGATGACAGAAAGGCAGGAAGAGCAAGCAAAGAGAGAAAAATGTGATACCTCCCAAGCCCCTGAAAACTGAGAGGTCAGAATGTGCAGTATCATCTTGTTGCAGGAGGGGCTGCTGCAGCTGTGCAGACTGTGGTGGCTCCAGTGGGTGGTGGCTGCAGTGGGGCAGTAGCCTTCGTGGTCCTGGTGCCAGCTCTGTGGGGCAGGGTGTAGGGGAATCTGGGAAGAAAGGAGTCGATGGTGAAGGGTTGGATGGAGGTCTGGAGGGGGCCTTTGTTAGAATCTGTTGGGGACTACATGACAGGCAGAGCTCAGGATAATTGTGAAGAGAAAAGAAAGCAAGGACATAGGGGACCTCAGACCATTTCCCATTGTGGTGACAAAAGTTATCTAAATCAATGAAAGTATCATAATCAAGAATTCCCTTGGGGGGCCAGATGTCCCATTGTCCAACTTGTATTGTGACCAGGCAGTATGACAGAGAAAAGTGATGCATTTGGGTTTATGCTCAGACAGTCCAAGGGATCTCCTGAGGACCAGTTTGAGACTAGAGAGAAAACAGGTGTGGTTAGAAGGGGCTGATGGGTGTTACCCATAGTAGCAAGAATACAGATGAGAGTGACTGAGATAGGCAAAAGCATAAAGGCACATATCGTTGGAGTTGAATCCCAAAGTGGATGAAAGACCAGAGCCCTTTGAGCAGGCATCCCTTGTTGAAGAGGAGGTCAAATTGAGGGGAGGAGTGGCTTGGCATGTTGAGACAAGGGCAAGAGGCCGAGAGGCATGAAGCTAGGAGTGAGTGAGCCATCTGGGAATGACATTTGTCTTCAAGATGTGTAGAAAAAGAAAGGGAAGGGGCTGGTGAGATGGCTCAGTGGTCTAAAGCACCTACTTAGAACAAG